TTCTCTGTCCAAAATATCAACCAACAAATGCTCTTACACATTGGCAGAAAAAAATCAGAACACAAAATACAAGCTGGGTAGATATGACCTTGTAAATGACCCCCCCACACACAGTCAAGGATCTTGGAGTACTCATCTCAAATGACCCAAGTGCCAGAGCTCACTGCAACAGCATTGCCAAAAAGGCATTAAGAGTTGTTAACTTAATATTGTGTAACTTCTTCTCCGGTAATATTGAACTGCAAACTAGGGCATACAAAACTTTGAATACAGCTCATCTGTCTGGAACCCGCACTGCATATCAGACATAAATACAATTGAACTAGTCCAGAGATATTTCACAAGAAGAGTCCTCCACTCCTCTGCTCGCAAGAGAATACCTTATGCCACCAGACTTGAAATTTTGGGATGAGACAACTTAGAACTTTGCCGTCTTCGATCCGACCTAAGCGTAGTACATAAAATTATCTGCTATAGTGTCCTACCTGTCAATGAATACTTCAGCTTCAACCACAACAACACACAAGCTCACAATAGATACAAATTTATGGTAAACTGCTCCAAACTTGATTGCAGAAAATACAACTTCATGAACAGAGTTGTCAATGCCTGGAATGCTCTACCTGACACTGTGGTTTCTTCCCCAAACCCCCCAAACTTTAACCTTATATTGTCTACTGTTGACCTCACCCATTCCTAAGAGGTCTTTAAGGAGCATGCATAAGTGCACCAGCGTGCCTACCGTCCCTGTCCTAATATTCCCTTGTATTGGTATTCATTTCATGTATTCATAATCATGTCTATACTTACATCTGTTATACTTGACAAAATAAATAAATAAATATAAAAATAAATAAAAATGGACTTTGTTGTCTTCAAAAGCGTGGCCTGTGTCTTTTAAATGCAGATGGACTGCTGAATCTAGTCCCAATGTGTTTATGACTACCACACTCACTTAATGACCACTGCAAAAAGCTTGTAAAATCTGGTCTGGTCACATGAAGACCCATTTTCCAATCATCATGATTTATGATTGTCATCGGCAGGCTCCATTATGGGCATAATTCAAGGACTATCTGTACTTAGTTTTATTCGGGTGAAGTACCACATAAAGTATTATTTTAGAGGCCAGCAGGATTACAGCACTCACGAACCTGTGGCCAAAGGCAACCCAAGTACTAAATCAACTGCTGCTTTGCCAAGTTTTAAAAATTCTTTGCTCTTCCACTCCACCAACTTAACCTACCGATCAGATTCACATTTACTGCTAACCCATAATGCGTCTTGCTTGCTTTCAATAGCAATAGCAATAGCTCTTAGACTTATATACCACTTTATAGTGCTTTACAGCTCTCTCTAAGCATTTTACAGAGTCAGCAATCTCATTTTACTGACCTTGGAAGGATGGAAGGCTGAATCAACCTTGAGCCTGGTAAGATTTGAACTGCCAAATTGCAGGCAGCAGAAGTAGCCTGCAGTACTGCACTCTAACCACTGTGTCACTGTGGCTCATATGTATCTGATTGTATGGACTAAACCAGGAGCTGGCAACCTTAAACACTCAAAGANCAGTGGTTCCCAAACTTGGCAACTTTAAGACTTGTGGACTTCAACTCCCAGAATTCTCCAGCCAGCTCTGCTCTGCTGGCTGGAGAATTCTGGGAGTTGAAGTCCACAAGTCTTAAAGTTGCCAAGTTTGGGAACCACTGCGGTATATGATCAATGAGATGTCTCTTCCCTTGTTTAAACGGACGGCTCTTTTGTACATACAAATCTATTAGTTGTTGGCAAGTCTGCCAAAATGCAGAATTACCAGTCATCCAGAAAACTGACAGACCCGTATTCATAAAACAAAATGGTTTAGGGTTATGTGGGCAGCAATAGCACTTGGACTTATATACTGCTTCACGGCCCTCTCTAAGTGGTTTACAGAGTCAGCCTATTGTCCCCACAATCTGGGTCCTCATTTTACCGACCTTGGAAGGATGGAAGGCTGAGTCAACCTTGAGCCGGTGAGGCTCAAACTGCCTAACTGCTGGCAGCCAGCAGCCACCAGAAGTAGCCTGAAGCACTGCCTTCTAACCACTGCCACCATGGCTCAATGCTTCCATGGGTAGATGCCTCCATGGAAGCCAAGTGCCCAAATCTCTTGCAATTGACGCCAAAATGGCCCCAGAGAGCAGGGTCTAGTGACACAATGGATTTGTCTCTGTGTGGCTGCAACAGTCTTAAGCAGACAATAGAAGTTCAGCAGAACCAAGTTCTGGACCACACAATCACCAAAAACATCCTCAAGACAGCCAAATGTGTGCACCATCAGATCATATCAGGAGAATGGAGAGGACCTCACTGTAACAGCTTCCATTTCTGCAGCAGACGGGGTGTTATGAGAACATGGTCCTTGCAAACGCTACTTGAGGTATCTTTGTACACAATAGGGAGGACAAAAGGACAAAACCCCAGAGACAGTGTCTTCTGTCTGCACTTTTGCTTTACCAAACCATCCTGCAGAAAGAACTACAGGGTCTTAAGAAAGGGTTTCTGCAGGTTGATTGAATGCCAAAGTGGGGCCCAGTTTCGCCAACCACCCCTTTAATTGCCCAGTCCCCACGCGATTCCTTCCTTCCTGCCCCACCTGAACCTGTCACTCACTTGTTGCAGACATGTTCCCGGAGGTGGGTCAAGACAGCAAAGTTGTTGCGAACTGTCCGCAGGCTGGCCAAGACCTGTGAGTGGGAGAAGAAGAGCATCGCTATGAATCAACCATGGTGTGTGTGTGTGTGTGTGTGTGTGTATGTGTGTATGTGTGTGTGTATGCATTGTGTCACAACCCCTGGTATGCATACTGCTTCCCTTTTCTGTCTTTCGGCTCACCCTAGGAGCTATCCAGGCGGAAAGCTATTTTTTTTATGTTGCCTTTGTTACATTTGTGTTGCATTTGTGCTGATAAATAAATAAATAAATAAATAAATAAATCTATACTAGTCTCCCTTTATTTATTTATCAGCACAAATGCAAAACACACACACACACACACATACACACACACATATACATACATACACACACACACATACACACAAATACAAATACGAATAGTCTTTAAGAAGATGCTGGATAGCCATTTGTCTGGAACGGTATAGTGTTTTCTGCCTAGGTAGGGGGTTGGACTAGAAGACCTCAAAGGTCCCTTCCAACTCTGCTATTGTATTGTATTGTATTAAATATATATTTGAATCAACCCATGTATTGGATTTGCCTCCTACAGTGAGCCATAAATGAAATAAAAGCTTAACTAGGCCATACAGTGAGCCATGGTTAAAATTAAGCAAGTTTAGCATATTTTATGGTCTTAACTGACCAGGTTATACAATCCAAGCCTGAAATGATGTTATCACTTAGGAGGGCCTCTAACCCTTCATACAACTTTTCCCTGAAACCCCCCTTCCTCCTTTAGAGCAGGGGTCTCCAATCTTGGCAACTTGAAGCCTGGCAGACTTCAACTCCCAGAATTCACCAGCCAGCTGGCAGTTGAAGTCCTCGAGGCTTAAAGTTGCCCAGATTGGAGACCCCTGCTTTAAAGAATACTGTGAGGTTTGCAGGGGTGGGTTTGCAGTCTTTAGACAGTCTCTTTTCCTCCCTGACTCCCAACTCCACCTCTCAGTAATCTTGCAGCTACCAGAAATGGAAGTTTTCTTTTGTTGTCTGATTAAGGAGAGGATGAGGCTGTTTTTAACCTTCCTTCCCAGTTGGTACCAAAACTCTGGATCCCAGGAGGGAAAAATTGCTTGCTCACTCCAGGTGGTGAATTCACTCTTCCATGTACTTCCCTTCTTTTAAGAGACAAAATGTTTTCCTCCTGCAGAGCACTGTTACAGAAAAGTGAGATATCCCAAAGGAGGGATATGGGAATGCCAAACCACATACAGGTAATCTTTGAATTACAAATTGGGGCCAGAATTTCCACTGCTAAGCAAACAGTCTGTTAAGCGAGTTGTGCTTTTTTTTTGGACAGTTATTAAATCACTGCAGTTTTTAAGTGAATCAAACGTCATTAAGTGAATCCAGCTTCCCCCGTTAACTTTGCTTGTTGGAAGCCAGTTGGGATGATCACAAATGGCAAACACATGACCTCTGGAGACTGCGACCATTGTAAATACATGCCAGTTGACAAATGCCTGACTTTTGATCACACGATTGTGGGGAATGCAGTGACTGTCGTAGGTTTGAGGGCTGGTCATAAGTCACTTTTTTTCCAATAGCAGTAATGCTGCTGTAACTTTGAACAGTCGTTAAAGAAAAGATTGCAAGCCGAGGACTACCTGAATGTGAGCTATGTATACTAAGGCCAACAAGAAGATTGATAAAAATGATATACCGTATTTTTCGGAGTATAAGACACACCAGAGTATAAGACGCACCAAGGTTTTGAAGAGACAATTTTTTTAAAAAAAAATTTCACTCGGCAAACCTCCCAAAAACTGCCTGTTTTTCGCAAAAACGGGCCCGTTTTTTTTTAATAAAAAAAAAACAGGGCATGAATAGCCCTTAGGAGGCTTGAGAGTGTTTTTGGGGAGGTGAGCACAAAACGGCTCATTTTTCGCAAAAACGGGCCCATTTTTTTTGTCAAAAAAGTGCATTAGGAAGCTTATAGAGTGCTCCTGGGGGCTGGGGGGGGAAAGGAATTGAGCAAAACCAGACTTTTTTTTGCTCATTTCTGCCCTCCTCAGCCCCCAGGAGCTCTCTGAAAGCCTCTCACAAGCTATGCACGGCCATTTTGGTGAAGGGGATGGAGTTTCAGGAGGCAAAAAATGCTGTATTCAGTGTATAAGATGCACCCAGATTTTCAGCCTCTTTTTTGAGGGAAAAGGTTGCGTCTTATACTCCGAAAGATACGGTACATGGGATGCAGAGTGGAAGCCTGAGAAGCAGGGGTGAAATCCTCCCGGTTCAGCCCGGTTCGGCCGAACCGTTAGGGACGATTGTCGTTGGTTCTGTGAACCGGTAANAATGCTGGCTGGGGAATTCTGGGAGTTGAAGTCCGGACATCTTCAAGTTGCCAAGGTTGAGAAACACTACTCTAGTTGCAAGAGCAAAGGGATATAGTTTGAGAAGAGTTGCACTGGACAAACAGGAGTTGAAGACTTCTGGAATAACAAAAGCTTGTTTTGCAAAAGTGGGCTGTGGAGTGTTCTAAGCAGCAGCCCCATTTCTCAACTTTCAGCTGTTCCCCAAATTTTAATCTGCTCCAAGCAAAAAGCCTGTGTCACTTTCCTTGGCTTCCTCTTTTCTCACAAAACCTTACGCCTTTAAAAGAAAAGAAAAGAAACAACACAACTCCGTGGCCATAACATAACAACCAGTTCTCTGCCAAAAGGGGAACAGATACCCAAGGTTGACAGAGGTCAAGAAAGAGAGAGAAGAGGGGAAACTTCCTCCTCTTTGGAGTTGAATCCCAACCGGGGTTGAATGTCTTACCTTGTTGGAAGCCATCTCGCTGACTGAATGACGTGTTTGCAAAGTCTCCAGCTGATCCAGGCACCAGTCCAACTCTTCCAAGGTCTCGATAGCCAACTTTTGGTAGGCATCCTCTATGAAATGCAAAGAGCATCACTGAAAATGCCATCTAGAAGGCATGTCTGTGTCACCTTAAGGAGTGGCACTGTTAAGTCTCCACACACACACACACATACACACACACTGAAAATTAGGTTCAAAAGTGCCAATAACCTGGGTCGCCCTAGGTGGAAACCACAGTGGTACATTCTAAACATGACTCTAGCTTGAAAAAAAATGGTCCAGCTTTTATTTTTTGCAGTTCATAAGTGGCATCTCTCAGAACTATCAAGGTGTGGGCTAAGAATCATGGAGGCATCGGTAAGATTAAATAAAATGGGATAATATTTTGAGAGCTATTGAAGATCCCAGTTGTAATATTGGGAATCAGCAGGGAAGCAAATCCACAGTAAACAGAACAGGATCATTTGATTCAGAATATTATATTAGCCTCTTCAGGGAACAAGATGCTGATACACATGGGATTGCCAAAAAAAAAGTATTAATGATTTATAACAGAGTTGCTGCAACATAAATAAATGCTCTTATTTTGGAGGATTTTCCTTAAGGGTTGCAATCCTAATATTTGAATTTGCTTTTGGGATTTTTCTTTTGTTAACATTAGCCCTTTTATTCTGTAATTTTATTCTATAATAACTTGAAGCAGCAGTTTGGACATTTAATGCCTGCTGGAAAAGTAGTTTGCATATCTTTTAGATGGCTGGAGCAATGTTTCTAACCTCAGCAACTTTGCCTGGGGAATTGTGGGAAATGAAGTCCATACGTCTTAAAGTTGCTGAGGTTGAGAAACACAGGGCTAGAGGAATAAGGTAGGTCTTTGCTCTCAAGGAGTTTATAATCTACATTTCAATCTTTCCTGCGCTCATGCCTGATAGAAGGCTAAATTTAGTTTGTTTTTCCTTTAGTGTACAAGCTCATTCATAGTGGCTTAGCATTATGTGTGAACCAAGGAGCTATACTTATTCAGTATATCATGATCAACCAAACACTGAGTTTTAGGACAAAATCCTGGCTTTAGGCTGCCCTGACATTGCTTACCTTGTCCAAAGAGGTAGGATAAGGAAGCAAAGACGAGAAAGGGATAAAGAAGTAAGAGGTTTTCCTCCTTGCCATTCTGGGACTTTTGAATGCCATAGCCTAGGAATCCTGCTAAAGCGTACTTGGCCATAGCATCGGTATATACGTTGCCTCCCACTCACATTAACCTATCTCACTGGGAGCCATCACCCCCCCCCCCACACACACACATTTACTGCAGCATGTGCCTCTATGGCATCCCCTGCCTTCTGTCAGACAAGCCCACGGAGGTTGATATATGCTTCTGGAAGCCATTTGCCCGATGTCAGGGGTCGACCAAAGGTTTAGCAGAATGCAGGAGAAAGAGAGGTGGTTCAGGTTGCCCCGAGGCAAGAAAGGAAGGGCTGCCCATCAGAAGGGCCTGTCTCTTGTGGGGCCGCAGAGACCAGCTGAAAGAGAGCGTTTTGAATAATGGAACAACTGACGTCAATTGGAGACGTTCCACCCGCCGCAGAGGTGGCATGAAACAGAGCCAGAGAAGGAGGGGCAAGGAGAGGGCAGCCCAGAGCAAACACAGACTGCAGTGGCTGAGGGGTGTGTGGTGGGTATGGGTGGGAGGGCAAGTAACCTATTGGGGGGGGGGGGAGGCAGGCCCTGGGAGGCTCCCATTGGAATCACCTGCAGCCGCCCTCAATACTACTCTCAACATGCATCTGTACAATGCATGAAAAGGAGCTGGTATCACCAACCCCCCCCCCTTTTCTCTTTACGCAGAAGAAACCTTTTTTTCTCCTTTCCGTGGCTTCAATACAGATGCCTGCTGACACTGCACACACACGAGCTTACGAGCTAGGAGGAGCCCCCCCCCCGAATGTTTAGTTTGAACTTCTGTGGCACAAATTCACTTGGAAAAGAGCAAATCACACTTTCCCAAGATTCAGACATGGGAAAGGGTAAAGCACAGGGTGGGGGTGGGGTGGGGTCAGGGAGCAACTAAAGTGAGGTGTGAGAGAAGTAAAATCTTGTAGGAACACAGAGACAGGGTTGTTTTTTCCTCGCACCTCACACACACACACACACACACACACAAACCCCGGAGTCTGCAACACCTCCAATCTAACCACTTTTTAAAAAGCTTTTTTGATTGCAGAGCTGAGCTTGCGGAACTCTTTGCCCATCGAATGTAGCGATGGCTGACGGGAGATTTTGACATATTCAGAAGGGAAAATCTACTAATAGCTGTTAAGCCATGGACGAACACTGAGACTTCCATAGTCCGAGGCAGTCTAGCTCTGAATGTCAGTTACTGGGAACAACCACAGAAGGGCATCTGCTTATGAATCTCTCTTGCAGACTTTGCGGAAGCATCTGATTGGCCTCTCTTGAAAGCCAGATGCTGAATGAGACAGACCTTGGATCCAAATCAGCTGATTTCCTTTTACAAGCTTATGAGCTTTCCAGTTTGTAATATGGGCCACCTCACAAGGTGAGGCCATTTTACTTGAATGAGAGTTTAAAAAAAAAAAAAGAGAGAAAAACATCCGAAAGACAGCTGAGGTTTACCTGATAGATTGACCTTAGAGGTAGAGAGGGGATTGACGGGACCAGATGTTCGCCTGCAAAATACAGCATAAAGTTAAGCTTCTCTGAAGCCCTGCGGTTCTCTGTGGCTGGTGATATGGAGAAGGGAAAATTCCCCAAAGAAGCTATTTACTCAAGAGCGCATGCCCCCCACCCCCCAACATAGGATTGCAGCATATAAATTATAATTGAACCATAAACTCTAATTTAAAGAAGGCTGCATTCCCAAGCAAATTTACTTGAAAATTAGCTCTGCCAATATGCCAAGAGGTTGTACTTCAAAGAAGTACAATTTTAAAATGGGAGCCGTAATGTGAAATGTCTTCCCTTACTTCTCTTTCTTTCGGAAATCTGGGACAAAAAGGTAGTTTGCACACAGTGAGTTTTTCCTTCCCTCTGGTCAAAACAGGCAAGATGGCAGACATGGCATCCATTCTTTTGCCCATTCAATCTCATGGTGGTTGTGAGTGACCCATTCACTTCTTTGACCCCTTCTTGTAGGCATTTTGGCCTTATTGCATTGTGACCATTGCATCTGCCATCTTGCCCGTTTCGACCTCCACTGGGAACACAGCTTGCTCTCACCCTAGAAATGTTCTTCCCATCTTTGTCTCTGTTCCTTGTTGTGTTCCCTCTGTTTAGAACTGCACCTGTGACCCTGAGGATGTGGCTTCATAGCTGTATTAAATCAGCATTCCTCCTGGTCTTGAATCAGAGGAAAAGTAGGCCAACAGGTAAGCTTCACTGTGCCTCAGAAACCTGGCTGGGGAAGGATACTCAGGTACAGATTTAATTCCCAGGCTCCCTTTCCTCTCCCGCCATGTGTCTCCTATCAATCGGGGGAAACAATCACGAATTGCTCGCCATTAGATGTGCCTTATGGTGCAAAGTTGAGGAACTCCAGTTTGTGTCTGGAATGGAGGTTTTAGTCACTTTTCAAGTGGCCTAAGCGAAGATTGATTGTTGGTCTTTGGAGATCAGCAATTCCATTGACAGAGTGGTGCAGCAGGTGGGTTGCTCCCGGTTTGGCCCTGATTGGGTGAACCGGTAGTGGTGGCAGCGGGAGGCTCCACCCACCTGTCTGGATGCTTCGGCACATGCGCAGAAGCATCACGGGTGCGTAAGTACGCACACAAGCACGAGCGAAATGGTAGCGCTGGGATTTGCAACCCATCCCTGGATTGGTGGTCAGAGAAAGGAGCAGGAAAGAGCTCAATTCTTTTCCTATTATGTGCTCCTCTGACTGGATATTTTTTTCCTTTGTTTGTTCTCTTGACATGGGAATATCAGTTTCTGAAGACGGATATATTCATGTCAAAAGTCTTGTTTTTTTTCTGGTGTGGGGGTGGGAAGGAAAACAACCCAGCCAGTCAGTTGGGAAGAGCTCACAGCTACATCAGGGGAGCTCTCTTCTGCATCATCCTGCTCCCCTCCAACATCCTAGCAACTGTTGGTGGTGCTCCTTTTAAAAAAAAAAANAACAACACAAAAGCAACACAACACAGAAGCAGCTGCATCTCACACAAAAGAGCCCCTGCCACAAGCAGGAAACTCACAGAGCCACAAAGAGCTCAAAAAGCAACTGTCACACTTAACAAAAAGACAATGCCATTGTGCAACTCTCACACAATGTAAAAACACACAAAATGTCCCCTACAACAACAAGCAGGAAACTCAAAGTCACAGAGAACTCACAAAACCAACAATCACAATCACAAAATGTCACACAGCTTGGTGTGATTTTGTGTGTTTGTGTCGTTAGTGTGGAACACTAGAGAAACACACAAAATCTCAGAAAGCTGCACAAATCAAAAAATATAAAAGCAGCTAAAACTTTATAAATTTAGCCAGGGGGCTTAGCCAGGCCACGCAGAACAGCCTGGGGACTGGTTGGGGGGGGGGGACGACACCACACTAGGCCACAACCGGCAATGCTTATCTTTTTGAGTGGGTGGCTGTCGGCGAGGCTTCTTAGAAGTTCTAGGAGAGGCTTCTGATCGAGCAGTCATCGGCGAACCAAGTAGCTAGGCCATGTGGCAAAGGGACCTTATATAGGGGTGGGTGGGGCAAGTGGGCCGGAAGCGAAGTGTCAAGCAGCTGGAAGCGAACCGGTGAGTGACCGATTGGGCAAGCAGGCAAGTGGGTGATCGGGTGAGTGGGTGAGGGTGGGGCCACCAGGGATTTTTACCCCTGGTTCGGAGAACCATGGCCTATCGTCACTACTGGTTGAGACGAACCGGGGCGAACTGGGAGGATTTCACCCCTGGGGAATCTCCTCTGGAACATCCATCCGTCCCACTCCCAATGACCATCTGGGCCAGACTGGCTTCTTCTCAGGTTTCAGTTCAGCCATCCACTCTGTTTCTTCCCAGTCAGAACGAGCCAGGGGAGGAGAGGATCCAGCAGCACCCAGGTCCTCCTGGTCGCTGCATGGGTTAGACATGATTTGTGCAACCCCCTTGGTAGCTTTAACTCCGGGATGGCTGCAGAGAGATCTTGCTTAATGTCAGACATGCCTCCTTCAAAATTCAAGAAAGGAAATCCCCAACTCCATTGTTTTAGAGAAAAGGTACTTTTACTGAATATGAAGTGAAAGCGACAAAAGTAAAGCAAGATCTGAGGCTAAAGGCGCGAAATTGTACATATCAAAAGTTTACCCAAATCCCTCCTCCCAACAACCCTGAGCTGAATGTCCAATCTCCAGCCCCCAAGGGTGCCATTTGTTGTGCATCTTCAGGTGGCTCCATCCATCTGGTATGCAGAGACGGTTGACCTTGACCAGACCTAAACATGTCCATTCAGCATGCACAAAAGACAGTAAGAACAAAACTCCCTCTTCATTTCTGAGACAACTCCTCCAGCACGATTCCCCTCCCAAATACTGAAGGCCCCTCCCCCCTGTTACTAAGGCAGCCTATAGCAAGCAAGAGATATAGAGGCTGACACTTTGATTCAGTAGTACATGGCAAACTACTTGTAAAACTAAAATCTTTTTTTTAATTGAAAAGTTTTAATAA